GACAAGGAGATGAACAAAGTCATCTTGGGTCTTGAGAAGTACTTTGAGTAAACCAACAGACTTGGGTGGGTGGAAGTGACACTGAATATGGGTGTGTGGTGTGTGAGTATGACACTTTAGCTGAAGCTGGAAAGACGGACAGCTAGCCATGCCGAGAGTGGGGGGTGGGGCGGGGGGCATTCCAGGAGAGGGAACAACAGCAACAAAGACTCCAGGAGCGCCAGGTGTTTGAATTTGTCACAGAGATCGGCTGGAGTGGCAGGAGAGGCAGGTGAGGGTCACATCACGTGGGGACTTTCAGGCTAGGGGAGCAGTTTGACTTCGGTCTCTGGGAAATTGGAAGCCATTGTTGGGTTTGAAGCTGGTGAGTGACTTGACTGGATCTAAGCGCTTTGATAGAAGCCCTGCGCCTGCTGCCTGGAGAATGCACTGGGGGAGGGCAAGGATGGACAAAGGGAGATCAGTCAGGAGATGCTGGTGAAAGGGAGATTGATGGAGATGGAAGGAAAGTCGGTGGATTCTGAACCTATTTCCCAGGACTAGCTGTTGTATTGAATGTGGGGATGAGGGAGAGGGAGATTTCAGGGATTCTGACTTTGAAACTGAGACACTTTACTCAGGGGAGTAGAGTGGGCAGGGGGGCAGGATTTGGGAAAATGTGAAGAGTTCTGCTACTGAAATGTTGTTAGGTTGGAGATGCCTTTGAATCATCTCAAAGAGGATGTCAGTAGGAAAGATGGAGGTCAGAGGAGAGGCTGGGCTGTAAATCGGTTGCTGGGGTAGGGGACAGAGGTGTCTGGGCAGGTCTGGTGGCCCTTAAGGTGGGGAACAGAGAAACTTGGACTTATCTGAACTGCTCCTTTCATCTCCCTTCCTCCTCCTCTCTTGCTGCACTCCCCCGACCAGGTCTACACTCGCTATGGAAAGTGTTACACCTTCAACGCGGACCCGCAGAGCTCACTGCCCAGCCGGGCAGGGGGCATGGGCAGTGGCCTGGAGATCATGCTGGACATCCAGCAGGAGGAGTACCTGCCCATCTGGAGGGAGACAAGTACGCAGGCAGGAGAGGGACAAGGGCCACCCTGGGGAATTGGGCCTGGGCCCTCTCCCTGGTATGGGTTTCCACATGTCCCCATCTCTGCTGTGCAGATGAGACATCATTTGAGGCTGGCATCCGGGTGCAGATCCACAGCCAAGAGGAGCCGCCCTACATCCACCAGCTGGGGTTTGGCGTGTCCCCAGGCTTCCAGACCTTTGTGTCCTGCCAGGAACAACGGGTGAGCACCTGCAGCTGGGCCCTGGGTTGGGCACGGGGCTGGGCCTTTGGGCTCAGAGGAGATGCTGACCAGATCTTCCCTCCATAAGCTCCCAGCCTCCAAGCAGAACCCCCACCCCCATGGATTCTGTTGGGGCTGTGGGCACTGGAGGGCCAGGTGGTACTCCTGGGCATGACTTCATCATTCCCCACCTTGGCAGATGACCTATCTGCCCCAGCCATGGGGCAATTGCCGGGCAGAGAGTGAGCTCAAGGATCCTGAGCTTCAGGGCTACTCGGCCTACAGTGTGTCTGCCTGCCGTCTGCGCTGTGAAAAAGAGGCCGTGCTTCAGCGCTGCCACTGCCGGATGGTGCACATGCCAGGTGGGTACGCCAGCCCCAGCCAGCCCTCTGTGCCACCCTGCTGGGCTCCAGAACCTCCAGGGCAGAGCTCTGCTCATGTGCACAGGCAGGTGCATATCTACAATGTGTGTGTGTTTATCCCCGTGTAAGTGTGCATGAAGATGTATTTGGGACTTTATGCATGTTTTTACAATATGCATATGAGAATGCATGCATGTATATGCCCCCCACTCTCGGTATGTAAGTGTGCATGAAGATGTATTTGGGACTTTATGCATGTTTTTACAATATGCATATGAGAATGCATGCATGTATATGCTTGTGTATATGCATGTATATGCATGTTTTTACAATATGCATATGAGAATGCATGCATGTATATGCCCCCCACTCTCGG